GAGAGGGACAGAGAGAGTGGAGAAGAGGGAGAGAGAAAGGGAGCAATGGGGACAGGGAGAGAGAGGGGGGAGAGGGAGAGAGAGAGGGGGAGAGAGAGAGAGAGAGAGTTTGCAAGTCCAAATTCTGTAGCTGTACATTTCTTACTTCCTTGCTGTGGTTTTCAAGGCTAGAAGGGCAACAGTCACCATGTTTTGAAGCATAGTGAATGTTCATAACATTCTTTATACTATGTTCTGAGCATAAAGTTGCTTGGCTTTAAGAAGGCTAGGAGGAGGAGATCCACTTATCAAGAATCATTAAATCTTGTTTCTTCTGTTTTTGAAAAATGGCAACCTCCTCAAAGGCTAAATTATACTCTGTTTCTTCCTGTTCATGAGAGCACCTCTGCTCAACTCATCCTCCCTGATAGGAATTATTTAGTGACAGTGGAACTGGCTCAGACTGGCCTGGGAGACCGACTGTGACTCTTCCCATGTTGGTACAAGTGTTGGTAGCTTCAAACTGCCCGTGGTAGAGAATTTAGATCCCACAAACGGACAAATAACACAGATCAAGGCATTTTCCCCAGACAGCCAGTTGTTATACATTTTCTAGCACAAAACTATGAAACTGTCAGTGTAGTAAAACAGAACAACTTCACAGTTTGATAGATTTTAGAAATCATTTGTGGGTGGGGAGATTAAGAGAGAAGGCCAAAGAACAAAACAGCTGATTTTCAAGCCAGTCTCCTCTGCACTTCCAAGAACCTTCACATGGAAGCCTCACGGTAGTGCTGGGAGGTCAAGTATCATTTTGAAATTTTTAAGTTATTATCATAAAAATTAGTTTATTTTTCTGAAAAAATTAAAGAAGGGAACTTGGGGAAGGACTGCATACTGTTGTATTTTCATCTTTATTTTTTCTGTCTAGGTAGAATTGCCAACACGACCCTATGTAGGCATATCCTAGTAGATAAGAAATTGCCCATCTTGTCCAAACCAGAAGTTACTTAAGCAGCAATTATCAAGCAAACACTCCTATAGTCTTTCATTTCCCCACCCATGATGGCTGTGCTTCTAATCATGCATATTTTAGACTTCACTATTGAGTTAGAAGCATGGAATTGCTTCTAATGAACACAGATAGAATTGATTCTAGTCTTTAGGAACAAGTATTGAGTCCCTATTGCCAGCACACATTTATTGAACACTTAATACAGGCAAGATCCTATGCTAAGCTCTATATCTATGTTATTCACAACTCACATCAACTCCAGTAATGACTAGTATTTAAATTACAGGATGCTAAGGACAATTCTATTCAGAGATCTCAAATCAAGGGAAGTGACCAACTGTATTCTGTATTCTGCACCTATCATTGTATTTAGGTGTCTCTTGAGTGATATTGGCTTCCTTGTACTGTGCTAGTCCTTACAGGGGTGCTAAGGAGGGCCTTCCTATCACCCGGATATGAGAGAAAAAGCTAAGACTTAGGGTCTATATCTTATTCCTTTCTCTTTGATACTTAAAACATAGTAAGTGCTTGACCTTAATGAATATTTTTGATTCGATGAATGAATGAATGAATAGACTAGAGAGTGTTAAAATGTAAAACTTGTGATGGTAACATTTAAGTTTTAGGTATCCAAAGAAAAATAAGAGGCCTGAATTCTACTGATTGGTGGGAAACTGGATATATGTCAGGCCTTTCTAACAGGTAGGTGCAGGAGTAATTAGAACACAGGTAAGGCATAACATTTCAGAGCCAGAGAGACTGCTAGGTCGCATTTCCCAGAGTTCGCTTTGCCAGACATTCTTCTTACACACATTTGGGAGGTAGCATTGTCGCCTGGTTTCATGGAGCTTCACTGTATACATCAGCATTTTGAAGTTTTAGAAATGTCTTGTTGGAAAGCAGATCACTGAACTTTGTCTAACTGAACATTTTTCAGATTGACTGGTCTGTGGATTCCTTTTTCATGTAACAAAACTTATGAGCATCCTTCCAAATACTCTTTGTCCGATACTGATCCAGTGCAATCCCTTCATCTTCCTGCTGAGTCCCATAAAGTTTGTGTAAGTTACCCAAGGGAAGGTCACAGAGCTAGTTGATATCAGATTCAAGCCTACTATTCTATAGTTTTCAGAGCCTTGGGTGGTGCTTGCCATTACACCATCACATCTTCCACTGTTGAGAGCTGGGATGACACACCTGAGTTGGTAAACTGCTGCATGCAAAAACAGTAAGAACTAATTCATTCCCTCTGGCAAGTGTAGCACGAATCCCCTCCCCTTTCTCCTTATCTGCTGGGCCCTGACGAGGATACGCATTATGTATGTGCTTACTAGGAAACTAAGGAAAGCCAAAACAGACAGAACCTCAGGAGCATTTTCCTCACTGTTGCCCTGGTAATTATTATAGATATAACAAACTTTCATTTATCACATATTCAAAGGGTGGCAACCTTGTAGATAACCCAAACTGACTGGGAATAGTTGAACAAGACACAAAATACACAACACACACACACACACACACACACACACACACACAAACCCTTTGGTACCTGACTCTGACATAGCTTTTGCACAGGCAGTGTCTTTGTCTAGGCAACTCCTTCTTCTTTTTTATTCCCAACCCTCTCCTTTGCTCAGAAGCCCCTGCCACACAGGCCAGCTGCACCTACTCTTTGGGTTTGCATTCTTGCAGCACTCAGGTGGAGAGTTTCGTCTCCCACTTGGATTTCCGAGGGGTCTGAAGGGTTTTCACATGTGGAAGCTTGGATCCCCCCCACTGATTTCCAATGACTCCAGCCACTGAGGTGCCGTCAAGGGGGGCCAAGTGCTTACACTGGCTCAGTCATCTCTTCACACCAATGAACTTCTTAGGACGAGGAAGAGGAGAGTATGTGTTAACAGTTGAAATTGGGAGGCAAGTGGGTACCTTGTGAGTTTGAGCTGAATAGAGGCTGCTAGAGCTCACAAGCTGTGGCCTGGGCTGCTTCTTTCATAAGCAACTCATGTCCTTGGTTACTGAGTTCCTAAGAGAGGCACAAGCAAATGAATGCTGCTGCACAAACTGGAGCCAAAATGCGTAAGCCCCTGGGGTTGTAGTTCTCATTCTTGTCATGCAAGCTGTCTATTTTCCTGCTTTCCCTTATTCCATCATACTCTGCCACACTTCCATTGCTCACTTTCAGGAAAGAAGAAATCCAAATTAAAATCCTTGAAGAGCCTTTTTGTCAAGAAGAAGAGAAAAGAGACTGAAGATCCTGAGGAACACAGGATGTTAAGGCCAAGCTTCTCCAGCAGCAGTCTCACCATCTCTTCTCTGGAACTAATCCAGGAAGGTGAATCAACTGTCGCTAGGTAAGCTGAGATGGAGTGGGCGGGGCATGGCTGGGGTGGACAGCTAGATCTAAGTTCCCTTTTGGTGCCCAAGTCACCAGTGAATTTTTGGTCTTAGGGACTTTTGGCTTCCCTTCTTCTGAAGGCCACACTTGTAGCCTTTGCCAGTGCCGCTGTGTCCAGGGGACCTCTGCCTTGTGTGCACATGCATGCTTGCTGCCTGGGCTGCACGGCTCAATGAGATAGAGTGTGGTGAATACACACCCCGTTCCTTCCTGGGTGAGAGGGTGCAGATAGATTAGGGAAACCATTCCTGTCACTGCTAGAATAACTTGTGATGTGGGACCTATTGTGAAGGAGGAATTGGAAGCATATTTCAACTAGTAAGGAAGGATGACCAATGTCTTTCAAAAAGTTAAGTCTTGCCTAGACTACAGATCTGGTTGAGGAGGTCCAGATCTCATAATGATTAAAGTCCCAGAGAGCAAGATCATTTAGCTGGAGGGACAGGAGCAGAGGGACTTAAGTAGGAAATCGTTGTGTTGCTGTAAATCCATTCTCCCTCTACCCAGGAGACTGGGAGAAATGTTGTAACTGGTCTCAAAGGGTATGGGGAAGAATGTCTCTCAGCCATCACTGTCATCCCTATGCAAAGCTTTATCTGTAATGCCTCCATTTCAACATCCTGTCACGTTCTTTCATCTGGACACATAGTACCCCCAGCCATATCTGGATCAGTGGATCTCCCCCATGGGGTTTTACTTGGGTCTGTTCTCCTGGTCTCACACACAGACTTCTCTGGACTCCCCCCCAGAATTCACCAGTTCTGTTAGTCATCCTCACAAGGCTTTGCTTAGTGGTAATGGGACAGCTAGCTACCATGTTATACTGCCCAGTAAAGGCCTCCCACACTTCCTGTGACATAATCGCCTGACAGCACATAGAGTTCTGTAAGAAAGATCTCATGAATGCATCAAATGTGAGGATTTTTAGAAAGTCTTACCAGTGGGAGAGATAGTTTTAGACAGAGGAGCTATTTCGTACCTCACAAATAATGCCATTAGAAAATATTGCCTTACAGCTCTAAGTAAGACTAAACTAAAACCCTGCCAAACAGGTTTTTATGGGGTATGGAGGGAGAGGTATTCAGGGCTGCTCTGCATTGTCTCTGCAAGTTGGTAAGAACTGTTGCTACTAAAGTTCCATATTTTCTTTTACTTGTACCTTCCCCTTCAACAATAGTCTGTTTGCTCTGATATATTCTTCACATTAAGAAGCATGTTAGCACGTGTGTCTGGGAGGGGGAGGGAGAGTCTTTGTTGGCTGGGTTCATAAATTAACTTTAAAGTATAATTTAGTGGTCTAAAGTTCATCCCCAACCTCACTCTCTTGCTCAATATACTACAGAAGAAACCCTGGATAATGCCACTCAGGAATTAGAAAGGGAGATCAGCTTTGTTCATTCACTGAAAGAATCAGTCATAACAAAATGTATAGCCAGCCCTCCCCTGGTTTGTACAGTAGAACCAGTATGTGTTTCTAAGATTGTAGTGATATGTCTAAAGGAATGGAAAAATCCCATTCCTTCATTTGATTCTTTAATGGGTGTTACTGTAATATGTTTATGGGCCTTAGTTAAAAATGAGATTTTGTTTGGAGTTTTAGATGTTTTTCTTTTTGTCTGCAGGTAGCAGACCAGTGAGTCCTGGATATGTTCAGTGGGCAAGGATTTTTCATTTCTGACAAACTTGGTTACACATGGTGCTACCATAATCTTTTGATCAGATGGAGCCTGGCACTATAGAGCTAATTCAACAGCTACTTTCTCGCTGATGTACAGCATGAAAATGAGAGAGATTTCTAAGCTCACCCATAACCTAAGATTTCCTTGGATTTTATTTTTTTGAGCATAAAACAGGCAGGAAGGTACAGTAGTTACAGATGCTACACTGGTGCTGAACCTGATTCAAGCCAACAGGTCATAGAGCAGTACTGGATGAAGGTGTGCATGTGTGCGTAACGAGCAGACATGTGTTCAGAGATGTCTTGAAACATTTCCATCCTGAGGCCCAATCACTCCTACATGCCCATTAAGGATTTACCTTGGAGAGTCACATTAGTTTTCTCCTGGACTGTTCTTATAGTAAAGCAGAGAGTGTTTCCTTCACGGGGCAACCTGGGCATCGATTTTACATGGAAAAGGTAGGCGGTAATTTAGTACAAAGTAGTACACATCTCCTTCCTAAACTTTTTTGCTGGTCCACAAGCCACCTTAGAGTGAGTTACATTTTAATCCTCATAACATGAGATTTTCATGAGCATGTAGACCAAGTGCAGGTGCCACCTCCAGACAGACTCACAATGACCCAATGAATACTAGCTCTACAATGCACAAGCTGCTTCTCTAGTTACTGTTTAAAGGTTGTCTTTTTTGCGCATGCCTGTAATTCCAGCACACAGGAGGCTGAGGCAGGAGGATAACTGTGAGTTCAAGGCCAGCCTGAACTGCATAGTGAGACCATATCTCAAAAAAATCAAAATAAATACACACATACACACATACATACATACATACGTACATACATACATAAAGGTTGTCTTTTTAAAAGAGCCAACCTGTAAGTTTGATTTTGTAAGAAAAAGAAGTACAAAAAAGTACTAAATGTAAAATTTATTTTATCTAATTTTAGAACATTTCCACTCCTCCCTAAAAGAACTCTCCTACCTATCAACATTCAGTCTCCATCCTCTTTACTGCCATCCTAGCCCTGAGCAATCAGTCATTAATCTATACCCTGCCTCTACAAGTTTTGCTTCTTCCTGACATTTCATATAAGTAGAATCATACAAAGTCACCCTTATTTCATTTAACATGTTTTCTTTCTTTTTTTGCTACATGTATTCCCTTTATTTGAAAGATTACTTGGTGCACTTTAAGTACATAAAGTACACTATATTAAATGTGCAGTAAATACGTGTATATATATATCTATATATATATCTGTTTACAGCTAAAACTATAACCCACATCAAGATACTGAAAATTGATTTTATATATGAATGCCATGTTATTTACCACATAAAGTCTTTTAAGTGTGAAATATCCGATAATATTCTTATTTCTGCCAAATAAGGATGTTTCTATTTCTATGGTCTAAAGTAGTGGTGGTGAACCTACGGCACGTGTGCTGCAGTGGGCACGCAGAGCCCTCTCCGCGGCCATGTGAGCCAAGTTGCCCCATTCACCTGAGCATTGAATAACAATTGTTTTTTCTAAACTAAAATCTCAGTATTCAGGTTTCATTCCAGAGTTGGTACTTTGTGATAAATAAGTGGGTTTGGGGTTGTAGTTTGGGTACTCGATCCCTGAAACGTTTGCCATCACTGACTTAAACAGTTTCTATTACCTTTAAATCCTTTTAACAATTACTTTATACAAATGTTGATATCTAGGATCAGAGATTGATTTTTGACTCAATATGGATCTTATTAATTGGGGACTTAACTAGTTTATGAGATAATTTACCTCTACCAGTCAGTCTCTTCAGATAATTTTACAGCTTCCTTGCTATTGTTTTTCTATTTTTTTCCTGGTTTTCTTTTCTTATTTGTTTATTTGTTTTTCTTTTCTCAATTCTCAAAATTTGGAATGAATATATTTTGTTTTTATTCCTGAGTCAATGAAAATTTGACTTACAGGAGCTACCATCTGAGGCAGTAATGATTTTCCCAGTTCAGGATATTGAATGTTGTATCTACCACTCTCCAACCAATGCTTTGGAAATTTTCTTCTCATACTTTCAGCATTAACATTATGGACAAGGGGCTGGGGATATAGCTCAGTGGCATAAGCACCTGTCTGGCAAGCGTAAGGTCCTGAGTTTAATTCCTGGTACCACACACACAAAAAAAAGATTAAAGTAAACACTAAGGACAAACTTGCTAATTTTTTCCTCTGTAATTAAACATAAGGGAAATAAAGCTGAGCCATTTTCCAATTTTGTCAGATTAACATTTAGGATCCCCTTACTTGTCCACAGTGGCAAAGCACTTTTATTTTACATACATTTGGCTTAACAACTTGCATCCTTATCTATAATACTGCATAGCCAAAATAAAACAATATGTATTTGCACAACACATTGAATATTTATGATGCTCTTTGGTAATTTATAACCACATAAACCAAAAATGTTTAGATCTAGCTTACAAATTTAGTTTTACTACCCTATATACTTCTTAACTAGTTTTAATGCTTACCATAAAATCTTTCATACAATTGCCTTACTATTCTCTAGTTATTTTTAATTCTTGTTCTCTGTTGGCTACAGTAAATCATTCAGCAAAATTTTCAAAGAAAGTTATTGGTTGATAAGCTTCTTAACACCTGAATATCTGAGAATGTCTTCCAGTTGCCTTCACATGGAAATAGTAACCTAGCAGGGTATATGATTTTTAGTTCAAAATTATCTTCCCTTAAAACTCTGTGGGTAATATTCTATTGTCTTCTAACATTTACAATTGCAAGAGAAAAATTTGAGGTCCACGTGACACCTTCCCCCTTTTTTGGTAACTTGCTCTCTCTGTCTGGATACTTGCAAAAGGTTTTCTTCATCCTTGAAATTAAAAAAAAGTCAATTGCATATGTTTAGGTGTTGCTTTTTTCCATTAATTTTTAAAGGTATCCCATGAGCTTTATCCATATGTAACCCTACTTTGTTCTTTATCTCTGGAAATTTCTATCCAATTAATTCTTTAATTATTGTTTCAACTTCACTTGCTTTGTCCTTGTTTCAGGTATTCCTTTTATGCATAGATGCATCTCCTGAATCAACCTTCTACATCTCTTTTTCTCCCTTTTTTAAAGTCTTGACTTGTTTGTCTGTCTTCTGTGCATTCTGTGAGAATTTCTCTTGCTTGCCATTTACTTCAGTAATTCCATTTTCTGGCCAGTCTCACTTACATATTTCCATTAATTTAAGCCAGAGAAAACTTCCAACACTATCTGCTTTATCACTGAG